GCACATAATATTCTCACATCCTCTCCCTGCTTATATTCTTCATCTAAAAATTTTTTCCTCCTATCCTGTGTGTCTAAGTCTATTCTACATGTCTTTCCTAAGTAGCTTTAAAAATGTTACACCAATTTTCCAGGTAGAATTGTCACAGCCATCTATTTAAATGTATTACCTGAGGTAGGCATCTGTCTTGAACTTGGAAATATGAAATAGCCACATTCTATGTTTCCCCCCCCTAGAGAATGCATCCTTGAACTATCTGCACCCAGTTCTTACTAGAAGCTCTTATGTGAGAAAACAACATTAATAGATTTCTGCAAGAATATGTAATTCATTCATTCTTTTAGAATAGTGGTTCTGAACTTTTTTGAAACAGTAACCCCTTTGAAAGTTTGCTGCAAACTTTGGGCTTTTGCCTGAAAAATACATAAATACACATACATATATTTAAGTTCAGGGACCTTCTGATCCCTCACTCTATATATATTCTAGTTAAGGACTCTTGCTCTAAAGTATAATTAAATTCTTAGATCAAGCCTGACAGTTATTAAGAGGGCTATATACTCAGACCACATTGTTTTGCTTCCCTTGATTAGGTTACTTTTATTGAATTGTGCATTAATGTTAGGATTCACTCAGTATTGAGGAATATTTTGAGAAACAGTTCTGAAATTCACTTTTGTTATTATTTTAATAATATTGAATGTCTCTATTTCAATGTTTTTCAAAGCACGAGATTGTAATCCATTTGTGAGGTTGAAATCAATTTGGTGATTCCAGCCACCAAATATTTCTTGGTTTTGTATTGTTTATTTTGTTTTTTTTCCCCCCTGTGTTATATTTACATATTAATAAAATATAATTGATTTTAACTTACTTTTTCCTTCATAGTAAGTGTAAATATTGTTTCATGAAACTTAGTTTTTTAAAATATATATTTGTGTACTAGATTGTTGTGCAGACTGTTTCTTAAAGAAATGTGTTTGTGGTCTAAAAAGTTTGAAAATTACTGTACTCTATTATACTTTCTCTTCCAGTGGACTCAAAGGAGAAAATTTTCTTCTATTTTTATCTATAAATGGAAATAATACTATTGCTACCTCATAGGGTTATTATGAGGAGTAAATCCAGATGGTCCCCCACTTAATGATGGTTTGGGTTAATGATATTTTTGACTTTATATAGTGTAAAAGCAATATGCAATTAATAGAAACTATACTTTGAATTTTAATCTTTCATTTTTGTCTTGGGCTAGTGACATGTGGGAAGCAGCAGCGAGATGACTTTGCCCAAATGTAGGACAGTGGAGGTGTTCTAAGCACATGTAAGACTAGGCTAAGTTGTTATGTGATGTTTTGTACATTTGGTATTTTAAATACATTTTGATTTCACAGTATTTTCAAGTTATGATGAGTATATCGAGACATAACCCCATTGTCAGTTAAGGAGCACCTGTATACATAAAGTGCTTAGAATAGTACTTTCCTGTCACATAGTAGGTGCTCAGGAAATACTAGTTGTTATTACCAGGAACAGCAATTGTCAGAGAGAATGCTTTGCTTTTATCTTATGCACATTAAAGATTTTTGTTATTAATAATGTTCGTTATTTTGGCTGTTAAAAAATAAGTTCAGAGAAAAAAATTAATAACTTTTTGTCTATCTTCTCTTGATTCTGATTTTGTCACTTTTAAATTTCTGTTGTATCTCTGTAAGCAGCCTTCATACCCTTTCTGGAACATCAGAATTTTCAAAATATGACATTTTAATTTAATTATAATATCAGAAATGTTTTCATACTCATTGGTGCCAGGAGGAAAGGTAGAGGCCCTTGTGAACATTCACTGCCTGTATTATACTGTAGATGAATGAAACTGTAGATATCACTGATTAATTTGTCTCTTTTAGCTTTGTACTATATGATTGAGTTCAGTATAAGGAAGACAGCTACATTAGTTGTCTGCCTAACTGAACACATTTGTAAGCCCAGTTAAACTTGTGTATGTGGAACCCTAAGTTATAGAAGATCCTCATAGTACAGCTGTACTAAATCTTTTATGTATTGAAATAAAAAGTGCTATGTAAAAACTTTTAGAATAATATGGTTCAATATTCTGTTCCATAATGTAACATCAGAATAACATTGAACTGTTTAATTACTCATCTGTTTTAAGTGTTATATGCTTTTTTTTAGTTGGGTACATACTTATGTATCTGTCATAAAATATTTTTAAACAAAATGGTAACCTTCACATTTCTGATTAAGGTAAATTAATTCCTATGGTAAATGTTCCTGGGCAAGGAGGTGTTATTTTTATGGAAATGTAAAGAATTAAAAATTTCTGGACTCCCTCTAGAAATAAATATTTGTTAAAGGCTGATTTCTCATTTGTATGTTTTCAGAAGCACAGTATATGCCATTTTGAGTCTTTTTAAAAAATGTTTCTATTGATTTTTTTATGGAGAGAGAGAGCGAGAATCATCCATCAGCTACCTCCTGCACGCCCCTTCACTGGGGATCAAGCCAGCAACCCAGGCATGTGCCTTGACTGAGAATTGGACCAGGATCTCTCAGTCCATGGGATGATGCTCAGACCATTGAGCCACATCAGCTGGGTTACCATTTTGAAACTTTAATAATTAAATAATCCATTTAAGTTTTTTAAAAAGTAGTTAGACTTTTTCTGATCATATTTAAATAAACTTTAAGAAATAAATACTCCCATATGCCGCAGAGGTTTTAAAAGCAGTTCTTAGAAGTCTGTGGTGAAAGAGTATAGAAATATTTCCCCCTGGCACATAATTACAATATTATATCTAAATTGAATTCTTGCTCCTTTTAACAGTTTGGGGAATTTGCAATCCAAATGGCAAATTTAAACAAATTTGTGAGACTTGTTCTTGATAGGAATAAATTTAAAAAGATGGAGAATGGAGATTGCAGCAATTGAGAGTAGAAAAGATTGGAAAAGGAGATAGTAGAAATAAAGACTTTCACAATGAAGTCTGCGTAGCAATAAATTTTGAGGGAAATTCTGGCCTTAGAATGTATACCTTTATCTTTTAGAATGTTGGAATCTAAGATGTGTGCATCTATCAGGGGACTAACAGCATGTGCTTTGATATGAAGTTTGTACTGGTCATAACTTTATAATTATTTTAAGTTTGGGGAATAAAATTGATATTAAAAGTATTTGGATTTTTCTGATGCATTAATGCTAGGATAGTTTCCCAGCTATATTGAAAGGTATAAGTTAAGTAAAGTCACTTTTGGTCTTTGAGATAATGAGGGTACCTAGAAAGTCAATGACAAGGGATAAAATCAGAAAGGCTTGAACTTTTAAAATAATTGTATTAAAATTATAGAGAATAAAAATGTTAAAAAGTTGGCAAGATGGTAAGTGGGAATTGACTGTATAGTTGAAGACATTTCAAATACCATTATATACTTTCTACAGGTATGAATTTCTCTATCTAAGGGCTATTTTGTTTTTGTGAACATAAAATGATGGGGCTTTTCAAGCTTCACTGTAGACAAATTAAACCAATTCTTCATTTTCCAGAGGTCTAAACCTTTCTCAAAGGCCAGTTATCTTGCTGGAAGGCAGCATGACTCAAGGGAAGGGGTCTGTAAACTTCTGAATGAGACTCAAACTTGAAAGTTAGTTTTTTTGCCATTTAATTGTTGCTGAGGTCGGTGATGTCACTGTGGGCCCTAGCTTTATAATTTCTAACATGTATGCAGTAATTTTTTAAGTTAAGGGTTATTGTGAGGTTTAGGTAAAATATATAGGCATTTGACAACTAGTAGCTGCTGTTCTTATTTCTTTTTAGGAACTTAACTGTGGTGACCGTGGAAGAATCTATGGTACTCTAGTTGTTTTACTTTTATAAAGTTTTAAAGGTAGAATTGTTTATAACTGAAATACAAATGAGGAGAAATTCATCTAATTTGCATCCATTTTTCATTGCCTATATCTACAAGTCACTTCTGTATCTTATTAACCATATATACTTCTGTAAAGTCCTTAACTATATTAAATGGCCTTTTTTTTCCCTTTTTTGTTGTTGTTGTTTTGTCTTTTTTTTTTTTTGGCTTTTAACATTTAAAAAAAATTTAGCTTACAAGATTTTCCCGTTGAATGTGAAGCATTTGTGGTAGACTGTTTTCTCTCTCTCATATACTTTAATGGATTGTGAATACAATCGGAGGAGTGGCAGATAAGAATTTTTCCATCTAAAGACAAGTTATTAGAAATGTAAAACTGGTTCCCTTTTTGTGCTTTCTGATGCTCAGAATAAGTCACTAAGGAAAATATCCTGTGTGTATCAAAATTAGTATTATTTTTTTTCAGTCCTTTTTGGGGAATTTCTAACAGCTTCTCTAATTAGAACTGTGCTACATGCTATAATTATAGTGGCCAAGAATTTTTATTTCCATTATCATTTGTAACCTGATTCAGTTTCACAAAGGTGAATTCAGTTGGATGCTATTAAAAAATAGTAAATTTAGATGAGAACCTATAAAAATACTTAAATATGCCCAGCTGGTTGAGCATCGACCCATGCACCAAGAGGTCACTGATTCGTTTCCTGGTCAGGGCACACGCCCAGGTTGTGGGGCTGAATCCCCAGTGGGGGGCATGCAGGAAGCGGCCAATTCATGTTCTCTCTTTTAGATGTTTCTATGTCTCTTCCTCTCCTTTCTCTCTCTAAAAATCAAAGAAAAAAAAAAAAAAGCTGGGTTCCCTTGCCCAATTAAAAAACAAAATAAAACTTGAATCTAACACTATGATCATCATTGGGTATGTTGGTACAAGCATAATATTTAGTTTTTATGACAATGCAAAGTGGGGAAATCTAATTCAGTAGAGTTTTTTTTTCAGTGTCCACTGTGATCTGATTTTAAAGAACATTGCACAAGGTTTTAGATTTCTCACCTAATATTTGTATTATTTTTAAACATCTAGGTGAAAGTGAATTGATTCCATTTTTATGTTACAGGAGATTACCTGGAGCAATCGATGTTATTGGTCAGACTATAACCATCAGCCGAGTTGAAGGAAGGCGGCGGGCAAATGAAAACAGCAACATACAGGTTTAGTATTTCATTATTAATTTTTAGCTAAAAAATTGTATGCATGTTCTAATTTTAATTCTGTATATATTCATAGGGCTATGCTATGCGTTAGGTGCTACAAAGAGATTTAAAATGTGGAGTCATTTGCTGTTCCATTTAGAATTTATAACCTTTGAGTCTTTTCTAGTAAGATTTTTCCCCTTGTTATAATAAATGTGTAAAGAAGAAAATAAAACCTCCGATATTTCTGCCATCTAACAATAATCATTCTTTTTTTTTTAATCCTCACCTGAAGATATTTTTCCAAATATCTTCAGATAGAGTGGGATGGGGAGGGAAAGGGGGGAGAGAGAGAGACGTTGATGTGAGAGAGACACACCGACTGGCTGCCTTACGGGTCAGGGATGAATCGCAACCGAGGTACATGCCCTTGGCTGGAATCGAACTCGTGACTGTTTGGTCCGCAAGCCAGCACTCTAACCCCTGAGCCAAACCGGCCAGGGCAAGATAACCATTCTTAAACATTCTGGTACATCTGTTCCTTGTCATTAAGCAAGATTGGGATACTATTATATTTTTTTGTGTATTCTTTTTTATTTTTATTTGAAATTATCATTTGCATTTTCTATATTCTTAAAGATATAACTTCAAATCTCTTCATGATAACTTTATTGTATGGGTATATCATAATTTGTTATTATTATTATATTTTTATTATTACTTTTTAAAATTCTCACCTGAGGATATTTTTTTAAATTGATCTTTAGAGTGAGTGGAAGGGAAGGGGCCAGGAGGGAGAAACATCGATATGGGAGAGACACATCAATTGATTGCTTCCCACACTTGCCCTGACAGGGGCCAGAGATCTAACCTACAACCCAGGTACTTGTCCTTGATGGGGTACTGAAGCCAAGACCTTTCCGTGCACAGACCAACACTCTAACCACTTAGCCACACTGGCCAGGGCTATCATCATTTATTTAATGTGGCTTTTCTCTGGGAAAACAAATTTACCAGCCCTTTGTTTTAGAGTGAAAGAATGAAAGGGAATGAGTTATTAGTAACTGGGATAATTCAAGTTAGAACTTTAGCAACTGAAACTGCTAGCTGTTAGCTTGACCACACTTTTTTGTTGTTGTTAATCTTTACCCGAGGATATTTTTCCATTGATATTTTAGATAGAGTAGGAAGGAGGGAGATGGGGGCGGGGGGGCAGAAACATTGATGTATGAGAGACACATCAATTGGTTGCCTCCCACACAACCCCCACTGGGGCCAGGGATGAACCTACAACTCAGTTCTGTGCCCTTGAACAGGAATCAAACCCATGACCCCTACATCCATGGCCGACACTCTTAACTGCTGAGCCAAACTGATCAGGTCATTAACTACACTTTTTTTAAATTACTTATTTTGTTTTGTTTGTTTTTTTATTGAATTTATTGGTGACATGGTTAATAAAATTATATAGGGTTCAGGTGTACAATTCTATAATACATAATCTGTATATTGTATTGTGTGTTCACCATCCCAAGTCTCCTTTCATTATCATTTATCCCTCCTTTGCCCTCTTTTTGCCCCCCCACACCCCACCTTCCCTCTGGTAATCACCATACTGATGTCTGTGTCTATGAATGATTTTTTTTAAATCCCTTCACCGTTTAAACCCAGACCCCCAACGGCCTCCCCTCTGATAGCTGTCAGTTTGTTCTCTATATCTATGAGTCTGTTTTTTATTTTTATTACTTTTAATAAATAAATCATGTAAAACATCTTTAAAGGTAAAATCATTTCTAAAATGAATTGTCCTCTTCCATCAAAATGCTGTCATTTCTTAAATCTGTTCTCTTCATTAAAAAATAACTTATTAGCATCTGCCTTACAAAAATTACATAAATGTAGGAAAAGTTACTGAAAGGAAGGATTATACGTTGAAATGATATGCTTTAGCTAGTAAGGATTTGAGAAGTAAAAGGTAAATGTATACAACATTATATTGCCTTTTTCTGCTGTTTCCTAAACATGTTTGCACATCAAGATTTCTTAGGGAACTTGTCAAAAATCCACATTTCTCAGTGCCAGTCTCCTATAGATTTGGTGCCTGCCCCTTACCTGTTCACACAGGTCAGTATTTTGTAAACGCTTTTACTTTTCAAGTATACACCTTTGTTCTTAAAGTTACAAGAGTCACAGGAAAAAGTGCCTCTTGTACCCCCCCCCCCCTTATTGATTTGAGAGAGAGGGGAAGGGAGAAGGAGAGAGAGATAGAAACATTGATGAGAGAGAACATTGATTGGAAGCCTTCTGCACAACCCCCACTGGGGACTGGACCCACAACCTGGGCATATGCCCTGACTGGGAATTGAACCCGCGACCTCTTGGTGCATGGGTCAGTGCTCAACCACTGAGCCACACTGGCCAGGCTGCACTCTTTTTTTTTTCTTCTTTTTATCCTCACCCGAGGACACTTTTGTGTTCATCTTCAGATAGAGTGGGAAGGAGAGGGAAAAGAGAGAGAGAGAAATAACAATGTGAGAGAGACACATCACGTGGCTGCCATCCACACAACCCCAGCCGGAGCCGGAGACAAATTGCAACTAAGGCACATGCCCCTAGCGGGAACCGAACCCAGGACTCTCCGGTTCGTAGGCTGATGCTGTAACTGCTGAGCCAAACCAGCCAGGGCCAGGTTGCACCCTCTTGATGCATGCTTTTGCGTCTCTTACTTTGCAACCTAGTGATGACAGGCCCTGTTATAATGAATGTCTAGTTCTCCTGCCACACTAATTTCTTAATGCGAATGTCTGGGACTATGATTACACTACTTTAATTTGAATACCTTAATTTTGGTTGGGTAACAAAGATAATACTTATTACACTATATTTATAAAGTGCTTAATTGTCTCTTGTTTAGAATGTTTTTTTATCAGTTATTTTTATTTAAAAAAATTTTTTTTCTTTATTGATATTACAGAGAGAGAGGAAGGGGGAGAGAGAGAGAGAGAGAGAGAGAGAGAGAGAGAAATATCCATGACAGAACATTGATTGGCCGCCTCCTGCATGCCCCCCACTGGGGATTGGGGCCACAATCTGGGCATATACCCTGACTGGGAAATGAACTGGCGACCTCTTGGTGCATGGGTCGATGCTCAACCACTGAGCCACACCAACTGGACAATTATTTCATATTAAGAATTTTTTGTAATGATTCAGTTGTTTTTCCTAGGCTTTAAATATGTGTGTGAGGGCCTCTGTGTATATCTACACACATCACACAGAAAATTAGTCTCGCCTCCTCAAAATATATTTTATGTGAATAAAACATGTACTTTTTGAGCCCTGGCTAGCATGGCTCAGTGGTTGGATTGTCACCCCAAGCACCAAAGGGTCACAGGCTCGATTTCTGGTCAAAGGCACTACCTGGCTTGCAGGTTAGATCCCTGGCCCTGATCCCGATTTCCTGGTGGGGTACATTCAGGAGGCAACCAATCAATGTCTTTCTCTCTCTCTCACATTGACGTGTCTCTCTCTCTATTCCTCCGTGCCCTCCTCTACCTCCCCTTTCCTTACTCTCTCTTCCTCTTTCCCTCTTCCTCTCTCCCTCCCACTCTCTAAAAATCAATGGAAAAAATATCCTTGGTGAAGATTAACATACAAAAACACATTTTACTTTGATTCTTAGATTAAATGAAATTTACTTAGTGTAATCACAGATAAGAGCATTTATTCATTTTTTAAAATAAATGATACTCTAATTTTAGGTCCTTTCTGAAAGATCTGCTACTGAAGTTGACAACAATTTTAGCAAACCACCTCCATTTTTCCCTCCTGGAGCTCCTCCCACCCACCTTCCACCACCTCCATTTCTTCCACCTCCTCCAACTGTCAGCACTGCTCCACCTCTGATTCCACCACCAGGTAAATAGTACTCAATACATTTGGTTTTGAAAAGAAATTCCCATGAATGTTTCTTTTATTTTGAATTTAACAATTAAAATATATATTTGAGAATAACATTTTCATTGATTCCATTGCATTAAAAATAATAGATATGAAATTGTTTGTCTTTAGTAGATTTACATTGAAACATATATAAACATGTCTTGCAGTTGCAGCATAGCAAAGAGACAGTATGCTAAAACAGAGAAGAATGTACAGATCCTAACATTATGATCCAATCATAGTCCCCAGACTAAAGTTGCTAATTATGTAAGTCCATATTGAATTATAAACCATGTTAACTTGTTTTGAAAAAACTTTTAAAGATACTTTTAGAATTGGAGTAGGTAAAAAAAATAAGGTAAATCCCATGAAGATATTTTTTGAAATAAAAATCTGACTGGTTGTCGTCTTCGTATACTGGTTTCCTTTTAGGAGACTACTTCTGGATGCTAGGTACCTTGTATTTACTTCTTTTAAATGAGAGAAAATTAATGTAAATTTTTGTCTTATATGTAGCCACTTTTGATTATTTATTAAAATTAGATTAGTGGCAGTAGGAAAAAATTACAAATAATCTCCAAATTTTATACTTTCAATCTTTCATCCAGTGGCCTTTATTTAATTTCCAGTTAGCTTTTAATATTTATCCTCCTTAACCAGTTTATAATGAAATTAACAAGGTTAATTGAGATAATAATTACCTTTTTTCTAGGTAGAATACCTATAGTAAATGATAAAAATTAGCTATTGTCCTAATCAGAATGTGTAATATATGTTAGGGTTATAATATATGTCAATTTATATTTAAAAGCCATGACCACTCATTCACTTCACATTTACAAGAGAGCTTTGTTTTAAGGTGGCAGATATGATCAGAGTATACAGGCAAATAAAGAGTCTGAATAGTCCTTTCCCATAGTAATCCTTGGCCTCTAAACATCAGTTATCACATCGGCCATACAGCCACAACACCTTTGATTTCCTTCTATTGTCACTCTACCTTCAAAAGGATTTAAAAATTATTATGAAAATGACTGGCTATAGAGAATCTTGTCTTAAAAATAGACGACGACGACTGACTAGATAAGGTTAGAGGTGCTTACTTCAGGCAACATTATTTCTAAAGTTCAGTTAATTCTTTTTTGCCAACAAGAATTTTTGTTCTGAAACACAAGCGAGAAGTTGTGATTGGACCCACGATTCTTGTGTCTTTAATATGGTGAGAATTAACTAAATAGGGAAAGTAATGACTTAATGATTCATAAATTATTTCTTTGCCTTTTGAAAAAGATTAAATGTAGAAATCATTAATTTTGAACATATTAGTTTTAATGAGACCAAAAGATGATTAATATTTATGGCAATAGTCCTTTTGCTAGATTGCCTTTTAATCTTATTTAAACTTTACTAGGTACTAAAAGTGATTTAAAAGGATTTTCTTATTTACTAGCTAAATAGTATATCCCCAGATGACTACCATTTAATGTAGTTCAACACTAGCTATTTATTAAGGTGAGAGTGGTGATTAAGTATTTTGATGATGAAAAAATGAATACCTTGTTGGTATAAGAATATTTAGTAGCTCTATAAGATATTGCTGATAGGCACTGGCATTATCTGGAAGTAGGTTTTTTCATAATGATAAATGACTCCCATTTTTTTGGCCATATCTCTTGTTTCTATGGAAAACAAATTTTTAATAATGTTTACATTATCTGTGGCATTATTCTATAACATTTCTCTGTTGTATAAACTATGTATTTAATATTAATTTTCAAGTACATGCTCTTCATATTTTAAATACCTATCCAGATTTCCTTTGATGCTTATTTTTACATTACACTTCCATGCTGTCCTATCAACATTTAAGGAATACAGATTCAGACGAATTTGAATGCTAGTATAAGCAATACCTAACTGGTATATTTGCTGGATTGAAGTGGGGAAGATACCAGTTCATATTAAACAAATATTTGTAAATTGAAGCTAACTAAAATACTTCTCATTTTTACTAGATTATGATCTGTTGGAGAGAATATGATGTTTCCCCACAGTGCCAATCACAGATGTCTTTTGTATTTTTGACATTCTCTAAATATATTAGCTAATTGAGTTAGAAACATATTTATGTACTTGTAGCACAGGGATTTTCAGATTGACAGTTGGTACAGTCACCCAGGCACTTATCAATCAGGATGGGCTTTAAACAACACTATGGCTGTATAGTTATAAACCAGCTGAATGTAGGTCTTGATTAAAGCCACATTTTAACTTATTTACCAAAGAACCACATGATTACAGTATGTTCTGTTGAGTTTGCTGTAATTTATATCACCTTAAGAATCATGCACAACTAATGAAAGAAAGCTCTGTGGCTCATGAGTCTTTTTGTAAGTATTGCCTTAATAAGTAGACTCCATTTTTCTAGGAGAAACCTTAGGTTTTCTTTGTGCTTTGCTAAGAAATACTAAAAGGAAAAAAATCTTTTGAGAATTAATTTAAACATGTTTTAATTTTGCCTTTCTTAATATTAGTTTTCAAATGCATATGTTTTTAACACTATAGTCCTAAATATGATAGAACAAATAAGTAATTATATATTAAGCCCATATTTTGGAGTGTTGCCAGTTTTTTTTATGAATAGGATGACCATGTATCCAGATTTGCCTAGAACAGTCCTACTTTATACCTTTGGTCCTTGTATAATTATTATTTACTCAGAAATGCCCTGTTTTGGATGATAAAATGTGTAGTCAGTTCTGTAGTTGTTTCATAGCATAAGTAGGTAGTTACTCCTTAGCAGTGATGAGATGTGATAGACAATGCTCATTCAAGGGACATTCACTGTCAGATAGTTAAAACACACATCTACAAACGTACATGAGAACTTAGTATCAGGGAGAACAAATTATTTCTGGCCACAACAGATTAGTATGAGAAGCAAAGGAGTTTTTGTATTGGAGAGCAGAATAAACATTTAAGGGATGTGTGGTCTTAAGTTAATGTTGAGACTTCTGGAATTTTTAAATGGAAAAACATTTGACTTGGTTTCTTGTTGCCATACTAGCAGCTTAAAACAAATACTGATTATTCAAGGTCTTCATTAAGTTTTGGAAAATATATTTTCATTTTCTAGTGAACCAGATCTATTATATTAGTATAATTGCATGCTTTTTCTGAGTAATAATACAGGTAATACCTAATATTTATTGAATGCTTACTATTGAAAACATTGTTCTGAGCACACTTTTTGTATTAACTCAGTTTTATTCTTGACAGCATCTGAAGTAGATATTCTAATTTTACAGATGAGGAAACTCTGGGGCTCAAGTTGTGTAATAGCTAGAAAACTAGCAGAACCAGAATTCTAATCCAGGCAGTTTTGCTTGAAAGCCTATTTTATTAACAATGTTGAAGTGAATCATTACCTGTGTCAAGAAGGCTATATTCACTCCAATAACATGTCTTAAAAGCTTTTTTTTTTCTTTTTAAGTATTTCCTCGATGTTGAAGTGCGTGCGTGTGTGTGTGTGTGTGTGTGTGTGTGTGTGTGTATCTTTGGGTAAGGAAGTTAGGGAGTTTGTAAAGAGCAGGAATCAGAATTTTAAAAATCCAGTTAACTCAGGTATTGCTATTTGCCAGATTTGTGTTAAGAAGTCTGTTTACTGAATAAACTAGTTTTGAAATACTTGTTTATTAGAAGAAAATATGTAAAATTGGAAAGATTGATGGTATAGAGTAGTTGATTTTTTTAAATTGTGATAAAATATACATAACAAAGTATGATTCTAACCATTTTGTAAATGTATAATTTGTTGACATTAAATATATTCACAATGTTGTGTAACCATTACGAGATCCATACCTAAAACTTTTTCATCATCTATAACTAAAACTATGTACTTATTAAACAATTATCTCTTCCTACTTATGCCAGCCCCACGTAGCCGCTATTTCTTTCTCTATGAATTTGCCTATTCTAGGTACTTTGTATAAGTGGAATCATTCAGTATTTATTTGTTTCTGACTTACTTTGTTTTTAAAATAAAATAATGATTGTAAACAAAGTTTTAAAAATTATGTTTAACCTATATTACATTTCATGGTAGTCTTAATTTAGGCTTTTAAATGTTCATTTACTTTAGTGTGTCATATATTCATTTTTTTTTATAATGGAGTTTATTGACAGAAGGCATACTCAATTTAACTCATTTCTTGTTATAATCAGTATTGAGACTCATGTGACTGTGGTTTTGTATGTCTTGGGAACAACTGAAATCTAGCTCAGGAATAGAATTCTACCTCGAAGAAGGCTCTTTGCTTTACTGAGATGTAGCCCAACTAGTCTAGACCACATACAAGTCATCCTTGCTCTTAAAGTTGGATGTAAGGTTTAACTGTTTATCTAGATTTCAAAATGTATAAACTTCTGCATTTTAGAAGGAATTAGATTTCTTCCTAAAAGATTGTCAAGTATGTCAGTGTCTTACTACTCGTTTAGTACTATAAAGTATATGAACTTGAAAATTTTGTTTATTCCCTAAATAAATATCTTTATCTTGGGTTAGCAATGATACATGAGGTTTAGAAGAAAAGCAGCTTACATCTGAGTCTTCTGTATTTCCTCCAAGGCCTACCATGTCTTGAGGTTATTTTCTGTTAGCAGTCTGGTTCCAGCACAGTGGCTCTCAATCCTTTTGGTCACACATTCCTTTACATTCTTAAAAATTACTGCAGGTCTTTTTGTTTTTTAAAAATATGCTTTTATTGATTTTTTTTTTTTTTAGAGAGGAAAGGAGAGAGGGATAGAAACATCGATGTGAGAGAGGAACATCGATCAGTTGCCTCCTGCACACCCCCCTACTGGGGATAGAGCCCACATCCCAGGCATGTGCCCTTACCCGGAATCGAACTGGTACCTCTCTGTCCATGGGATGATGCTCATTCCGCTGAGCCACACCAGCCTGGCTTGCTGCA